CCCTGGAGGTGTCCCAGGAAGGCCTGGCCGTGGCACTGAGTGCTCTGGGCTGGGGACAAGGTGGGCATTGGGCACAGGGGGGATCCATGGGCTGGGAGGGCTTTTCCAACCCAAAGGATTCTGTGGGATTGTGTGAGGAGCTCCCCAGTCAGGGAGCAGCTGCCCAGAGTGGTTGGGGTGGTTTGTGCTCCAGGACCACGCGCCTTCGCTCCGTTGGGAGATTGGGATACCCCCAAGGATTCGGCAGGAATTGCTCTGCCCAGGAGTGGGAAGGAGCAAAATGGACAGTGAAGGGCTCCTGATGGTTTTGAAGGATTTCTTGGGATGAGTTGTGGTGCTGAGCAGATCAGAGCCCTTTGCTTTGGGGTTTTGCTCTGGCTGGGGAGGCTGTGGGTGGTGCTGGAGGAAGCACGGGCACTGTGGGGGTTCCAGAGCTGTCCAGCAGCATGGGGAGTCCCTGGGGCAGGGACATTATTCCCCATGTTTCCAGGGGCTGAGCTCCAGCTGATGCTCTGCAGCTCCAGGAGATCGCAGGGCTGACTCTGCAGAGCCCCAGGGATGTGGGAACGTGGCTCTGGTCAAACCACCTCTGCCCTGCTGTGAGGGAGGGAGCAGAGCAGAGCCCTCCTTGTGTCCTGTCCCAATTCCATGCCCCACACTCCCAGCTGGGGGGCTCAGCACCGTGATCCCCACTCGCCCTTGGCTTTGGAGTTGCTGATTTCGCTCTGAGCACAAAGTGAAATGAGTTGGGAAGCTCTTGGGTGTATTTTCTCCACCTTCCACCCTGTTTTCCTGTCACTGTCTCTCTTCCACGTGCCAAAATATTTCTTAAGGGACATTTGGGGAAGCTCCCATGGCTTCCAGGAGGCCCTGGGAGCCGTGGTTGACTCTCTGAGTGTGCAAATCTGCTTTAAAGGCTCTTGTGTAGCAGGATGTCACCTGGTCTGGCTCAGGGACGGGCCAGCCCCTTCCCCTTGGTTTGACTTCCATTGTTTGCCACCAGCTGCTCCCCAGCACCTCCCTGCTCCCCGGGATGTCTGATTCCCTGTTCCCTGTTCCTCTCCGTGAGGGCAGCAGGCAGCTGATGGACGTTTTCCCTCCCTCCTGCACGGCACTGGGATGGGGTTTTCCTCCCAGTTCCCTGGAGAGGAAGGAAGCTGGGGGTGTTTGCCCCCCGTGGGAGGCTGTGGCTGTGCCCTGCTCCAGCCCAGCACCTGGTGAAGCTCCTCCCTGGTTTTGGTGCCTCCCAGGACAGAGTTTGGTAGGAAATTCAACCTCCCACCCACCCTTTATCTCCCCCAAATGATTCATTGCTTTCTAGGTGGAGGCTCCCATGGGCTGTTGGCCCGTGTGACCCACAGCAAACACTGTGGTTTGGCATCTCCTGGTGACTCCTGGTCATTCCCTGCTCACTGGGGCAGCAGGGAATTCCCGTGCAGACCAGTTCCTTTGCCGAGCCGTGCCCGCCGCGGTCTGTGCTGGCAGGGACAGCTCCCGTGGCTTCTTGGGGAAGCAAACAGGCCTCAAAGTAGGGCAGCTGCATCCTGCCAAAAGCTTGGAATTTCCTTCAGTATTGCCAGTTATCAGCTGGCAAAACCAGGACACTCTCAGGTCGTTTTTCCTCCCTCCCTGGTGATTAAATAAAACACGAAGAGCTATTTCGGAACCTCTTTTCACGGGATCTAAAAATACCGGCGGGGTTGGGGCAGGTCACCTGGAGAAGGGTTGGAACTCAACTCTGTTCTCCTCTTCAGCCAAGAGTCTCTCTGTAATCCCTTGGATTGCAACACCCCAACACCTTTGCTGGGTTGATTCCAGCCTGGGACAGAGGTGCTCAGATCCCGGTGCTCCGGGGTGGGAACGTGTCCTGCCGTGGGTGACTTGGCAGCCAAGGGCAGGAGCAGCTCAGCCGGGCTCGGATCCACTCCAGCAGCTCCCTGGCTGCGTGTGGGGCAGGGCAGGGACTTCTCCTGACTGCAGGGGCAGGAATGTGGCCCTGCCAGCCAGTCCTCCACATGGCTGCAGGCTCCAGGCTCAGCTCCTGGCTGGAAGCAGGCCTTGGATCACCCTGGCCACGGGATCCAGGTTCAGCTCCCGGCTGGAATCAGGCCTGTGGATCACTCCCTGGACTCCTCCTCTGCCCAGGAGGTTTAACACAGGTTCCTGCTGGGATCTGGGAATACCTTGCTGTGTAATCCCATTTTTTAACCCAAAACAGAGCTTCTTTGGCCACCTGAAGTGCTTAAAGTGAGCAATGAGGGCATCAGGCCACGATGCTCCAGATCCATGGCCTGCTGTAGGTGTATTTCTGGTTACAGGAGAATGAATGTGGTGCTTTACTTTTCTCTTGGAATATCCGTGGTGGCTTTGCTTTTCCTTGCCTCTTTATTCCCAAGTCATCCTGGGATGGAATCACACCCTCCCTCCCCCCGGTACAGGTACAGAAGAGTGACCTTAAATCTGTGCTCAGCCAGGCTCAAACTCCCACCTCTGGGATGAGATTGGGCTTTATTGGATTCAATCCATCACATTCCCATCTCTCTCTCCGTCTTTTCCAGGAAATAGACAGGCGGTTGGAGAAGAAGCTGAAGATCACACAGAAGGAAAGGTAACGCCGCCGCGGGGTCGGTGAAATCCCGGCTTTCCCGAGGTGCCCTTGGACAGCTGGAGGCCCAGGGAGTGGGAACAGCGGGAAAACAGCTTCAAACTGAGCAGGGAGTGCTGGGTTGGAGTTGAGGATTAGGGAATCCCTGTATCCATGCCACTGGATGGCCCTTGGGACCCACAGCAGGGCAGCCAAAAGCTTCCTGAGAGTGATTTTATTTCAGAGCCGGGTCTTCCAGACGGGATGTAGCTACAGCTTTGGGGAAGCCTTGTAAGAAAAAGCCTCTCCCAGGAAGAAATGGGTGAGTCAGGTAATCCCGGCTCCTGGCCCTCAGTGGACTTGCCTTGTCTTGCATCAGGGAGACTTTCTTTTCCTGCTTCCTTTGGCTGAGGGTGGGGAGGGGTGTTATTGCCTCCTGCCAGAGGGGTTTCTACTCACTGCTGACAGCTCTTGTTGGGATTTTTTTCCCCTTTGATTGTCATGGGATTAATTCTCTGGGAATTCCGGGCAGAAAAGGGACTGTAAAAATAATCTGATGGTGAGAGGGGTTGTGAGGAGTGAACTGGCAGGGCTGGAGTGAGGGCTGGGTATCCTGGTGAGTGGAGCCCTGAAACTCCTTGCAGGGAATGAAATCAAGGTGCTTATACCAACATCTTTGACTGGAAATGCTAACCCAGTGTTTGTTCCCTTCCCTTCGGGGGAGTTTGATGATGTCAAACGCAGCAGGGCCTGATTTTCCATCCCTTTCCCAGCTAATCTGCTGCTCCAGTTTAGGGTTACGAATATAACGAGCTCTTTAATTACTCCAGGCTGCCATTAATCACAGGAATGGCATCTGCCCACCAGGAATTCACACTGGGAGCAGGAAAAAAAACCCCCAACTCCCAACCCGATGTTTTTGTTTCAAACAGTAGAAAGTCCAAATCTCCTCCCAAAGTGCCCATCGTGATCCAGGACGACAGCCTTCCCTCGGGGCCTCCCCCCCAGATCCGCATCCTCAAGAGGCCCACGACCAACGGCGTCCTCAGCACGCCCAACTCTGCCAGCCGGCCGGCCTTCCCCGTCAAATCCCTGGCACAGAGGGAGGCGGAGTACGCCGAGGCCAGGAAACGCATCCTGGGCAGCGCCAGCCCCGAGGAGGAGCAGGAGAAGCCCATCCTGGACAGGTGAGAGCGGCCCCGGGTGCTCCTCAGGAATTCCTGCCCGGCAGAGCTCAGGGATGAGCTCCTTGGAGAGCAGAGTGAGGAATGAGGAGGGAGCAGTGCTGTGTCAGCAAAGCCTCCACTAGGTGGGAGTGGAGGGAAGTGGAAGTGCCTGATAAGGCCATAAATCATGGAATTATTAAGGCTGGAAAAGCCGTCCCAGATCATCGAGACTGACCATTAACCCAGCACTGTGGTCACCACATGTCCCCAGGTGCCACATCCACACGCCTTTGGAACAATTCCAGGGATGGGGACTCCAAACCTCCCTGGGCAGCCCCTGCCAGTGCCTGACCACCCTTTCCAGGGAGAAATTCCTCCTGACATCCAACCTGAGCCTCCCCTGGCACAGCTGGAGGCCGTTCCCTCTCCTCCTGTCCCTTGTTCCCTGGGAGCAGAGCCCGACCCCCCCCAGCTCCCCCCTCCTGTCAGGGGGTTGCAGAGCCAGAAGGTCCCCCCTGAGCCTCCTTTGCTCCAGGCTGAGCCCCCCCAGCTCCCTCAGCCGCTCCTGCTGCTCCAGCCCCTTCCCAGCTCCGTTCCCTTCCCTGCACACGCTCCAGCCCCTCCGTGTCCTCCTTGTCCGGAGGGTCCCAGTGGTGCCCCCGGGGCTGGAGGTGCCCCGGCCGTGCCCGGTGCAGCCGTGGGATGATCGGAGCACCTTGGAAGAGCAGACTGGGGGTGTAGAGAGCAGGGAGGGCACCCTGAGTCATCCTCATAGAATCATGGAATGGGTTGGGTTGGAAAAGACCTTAAAGCTCATTCAGTGCCACCCCCTGCCATGGGCAGGGACACCTTCCACAGCCCAGGTTGCTCCAAGCCCTGTCCAAGCTGGCCTTGGACACTTCCAGGGATGGGGCAGCCACAGCTTCTCTGGGCACCCTGTGCCAGGGCCTCCCCACCCTCACAGGGAAGGATTTCTTCTCAGTATCCCATCAAGCCCTGCCCTCTGTGTCCTGTCTCTCCAGGCCCTTGTCCAAAGTCCCTCTCCAGCTCTCTTGGAGTCCCTTTAGTCTCTGGAAGGGGCTCTCAGCTCCTGGAGCTTCTCTTCTCCAGGCTGATCAATCCCGATTCTTTCATCCTTTCTCCATCTCAGAGCTGCTCCATCCCTCTGATCCCCTTGGTGGCTCCTCTGGACTGGCTCCAGCAGCTCCATGTCCTCCCTTGCTGGGAAGCACGTGCCGATATTCCCGTGTTGGTGCATTCCCCCCTCAGCGGGCGCCTGGGGCTTTGCCGAGGGCACACAGAATTCCACCCCGCGTTCCCTGCGGGTCTGACCCCTGTCTCCCTGCAGGCCCACCCGAATCTCGCAGCCGGAGGACACCCGACAGCCCAACAATGTGATCCGGCAGCCGCTGGGCCCCGATGGCTCCCAGGGCTTCAAGCAGCGCAGATAAAGGCGGATGTGCCGCGGTTCCGCCGTTCCGGAAAGCCGGGCCCCCGGCACGGACACACGGACCTGGGCAAGGGGGACTCCCGGCATGATTTGCACTGTGACCCCTTCGCTCTGCCCACTGTGACCTTCAGCCCCACGCACTGTGACCTCCCCTCTGCACCCACTGTGAGCGGCGATCCCGAGGGCTGTCCCGAGGATCCAGCGGGAGAAGGAGGGAGGTGCCGGACTCGGGCACCGGGAGCTGCGTGTGCCGCTCGGGTCGGGGCTGGCGCCAGCAATAACGTTTGTTGTACTCGAAACCCTGGCATTTAAGGAAAAAAAAAAAGATGGGAAGTGTCCCCAGCCACGCATGTTGTCCTCATCACTTCCAGAGCGAGTTCTGTTTCTGAGGATTTTGGGTTCTTCTGTTTGATTTTCTGTTTGTTTTCTCTGTCTGGGATCGGCCGAGTGCGTGGGAAGGGTTTGACCTGTTTGTGTTAATCCACAGAGGTAGTTCAGTGTTCCCAAAGGAATTCCAATGGATTTCCGTGAGTTGAATGGCTTGGGGTTGACAAGCTCTTGCTTCTCCTTCCGAAGAATTGGACTCCTGGATCCCCCGGGATACCTCGGAGCCGGACCTGGTCCACGTCTCGCTCCTGTGCAAGCTCAGCTCCCTTTTCCTGCTACTTTGAGGAAAAGCTTAAAACACCCCTTGGTTGGGCTCTTTTGTGCTTTGGAGAGAAGGGAATGTGGAGTGATCCCGTGAAAATTCCTGCTGCCTGGCCACAGAGGGGCAGGCAGTGAAGAATTTGGGCTGTGTGGTGAGGAGGAGAGTATCCTGGAGCGGAGAGCGGGATGTCCAGAGGGTCCGACCCCTCAGGGACGGTACGAGCTGCGTTTGCCTCCCGGAATTCCAGACACCGGGAACAAACCCAGCCTTGGAGAGAGCCTGGATGATCCCTCCATCTTCAGGAAAGGGATTGTCCTCCTCCAGCTCCCGGGAAGAGGCCGGGGAGGCCGGTGCTCCGCAAGAACAGGGATGTTCCCCCCTGGATGAAGCTGAATATCAAGGGATGAGATGAACACTAAATGCTGCTCTCGGAGGGGACCTGGAATTCCCTGTGTGGTTCCCGGCGGATTCCCAGCAGATTCCCAGGCTCTGGGTGCTGCCTTCAGTAGGTTCAAGGGTGAACAAGCCAATCCTGACGTGGTGTCCGTGCGGGGCAGCACTTCCTGCATGGAAATACGGCTTAAATCCCACAGGAACGGGAAAAGAAAAACTACCTGTGCATCCCACGGATCCGCCGGAGCTCAGTGAGCTCCTTAAGGCTGATTGCAGGTGGGGCAGGATTCCCTCGGGATTCCCCCGGGATCCCCAGCCCCCAGTGGTTGGGGGGGGTCTCAGTTTTCCCTCCCCGGCTGGTGGTCGGGATGAGCTCCGGGAGGGAGCGGGAGGGGAGAAGGATGTCAGCAATAACCGCAGTCACCGCGCCTTTCCTTAATTATTCCCAAAAACCCACCAAATAGCCAAAAAACCCCAAACCCACCCGGCTCCTGGTGGGGCTGGGCAGTGTTCAACCACTGCCTCCTCCAGCACCGGAATCTCCGTGTCCGGCACCGAAATTCCATCCCCGGCACCGAAATCTCCCTTTTCCAGCACCGAAATCTCCTTTTTCCAGCACCGAAATGTCCTTCTCCGCCCCGGAATCCTCCCGGCCGCCCCATCCCGGTGCCCAGGATACGTCCCGCCCGCGGGCAGGGCTCGGCGTTCCTGCGGGAAGCGCCCGCGTCCCGAGGAGGGCAGGAGGGACACGGTACCCGCGTGTTTGCGCCCCACAAACGTTGCGCCGGAGAGAAAAACGTTTTATAAATTGTATTTTAAATAAATGTCTTTAAACTTTTAAGGACTTTGGGTTCTCCCTCTTTTATTCCTCACGGGGCCTGAGCTCCAAATCCATCGGGAAGGGAAAAGCTGGGAGAAACGGGGGTGGGGTTGAGTCAGAGGAGGGGGGATTTTGCTCCGTTTTTAGGGTTGGTGGGAGATGTCCCGGGAGGGAGGATGTGGATCCAACCCTGGATGTGAGCAGGCGATTTTTAATGAATTAATTAATTTAATTAACTTTAATTATCTTGTTGCTCCATCCTGTGGCTGTTGTGCTCCATAACCTCTGGAAAAGGAGGGGGAGGCTGTGGAGGTGCCCAGGGCAGGAGGATTCTGGGAGCCCTGGAAGCTCCCACAGGCCCCCATTCCCTTGGAATTCTGATTTTTAATTACTTTTAAGTTTATAATATATAAATAGTATAATTATATGACATAGTATAAATAAATATAAATAAGTACATATAAATTTATATAAAACGAACTATATACAAGTAAATATCTGCAAATATATAAAAATATGTGCTAAAGTATATAAAATATGTGTAATATATAATACAACAACATAATATACAATACAACATAACATGTTAATGTATATAATATATAATGTTATAATATAAATATATGGGGGTTGTAAATACAAATAAATATTGAAATAAATAAATAATAGATGTAAGTATATAAAATAAAAAGTATCTGTAAATGTATAAAATATGTATAATATATAATACAAGATAGCATAGTACAACATATATAACATATATAGAGATATATGTAGTATATAATGTTATAATATAAATATATGGTGTCTATATATACAAATAAATACTGAAATAAATGTATAATAGATATATAAAATAAATATTAAAAATATTTTATGTCTACTTAGATATAAATATATAAAAATATGTAGGATATGTGTTTTATAATATTCAGTATATATTATATAATACTATATTATAAAATACTGTACTATATAATATATTATACATAATAATATATAATTCTATATAGTAAAATATATAATATATAATATTACGGTAGAATATAATATATAGAATAGAATATACAGAATATATAGACTAGAATATAAATATATAATTATATAAACAATTATTTTATGTATAAAATCCCACAACCCCCTGAATTTAGTGACTCGGAGCCGCAGAGCTCCAAGGAGAAGGGTCCAGGCCGGGACGTGGCCGCTCCCCCCGGCCGAGCTGGTTCCCAGTTCCAGCAGCAAACTGGGACCAGCCCCCAGCCCCCGCAGCGGGTCCTCCCGCCCGCCAGGGGGCGCCGCGGATGCGGAAGCGCGTCCCGACGGCAAGTCCCGCCCGCGCTGGGGCGGCCGCGGAGGCGGCAGTGAGGGAGCAGCGAGGCGGCGGGACAGAGCGGCCCCGGGACAGAGGGGACCCGGGACAGAGGGACCCGGGGACAGAGCGGCCCCGGGACAGAGCGGCTCCGGGACGGGGCTGCGATGGCGGCGGAGCAGGAGGACTACGAGGCCGTGCTGTGTGTGAAGCCCGCGGTGCTCGTGTACCGCGTCCCGCCCAGGGCCTCCAACCGCGGCTACAGGTGCGGCCCGAGCCCGCCCCGAGCGGTGTCAGCGCCTCCGGGCGCGGGGGAGCCGCCCCTTCCCTCGGGGGTCCCCTCCCTGTGGGCTCTCGGGGGTCCCCCCGGCCGTGGGGTGGGGGGTCCCCTCCTCCTCATAAGGTGTTTGGGGGCAGCCCCTTCCTATGGGGTTCGTGGGGGTCCCCTCCCTAGAGGGTGTTAGGGGTTCACCCCTCACTGTGGGGAGCGGGGTTATATAGACCCCATAAGTTATTTGGGGTCTGCAAGTCCCCGGGGGCAGCAAGAACTGCCCCCTGAGGTATCTCTGTCCTTCAGGGGGTTTCTCTGTCCCCCCGGGGTATCCCTGTCCCCCATCCCAGCCCCACAGGGCTTGTCTCCATCCCCCCGGGTGTTTTGGGGTCCCCCTCCTGTCAGTCCTGGACTAAAGTCTGTCCTGGCCCAGCCCAGCACCACCCAGAAGCTGCTTCTCTCCGAACCCCCGTGGAAAGGGAACTGAAACCTCCCGGGCAGCGCTCGCTGCTGCCCCCGAACCCAAACCCAGCAGCTGCTCTGGGGGAAACGGGAGCTCTTGGGACAAACCCCCTCCTTCCCAGCGTGGCTCCCCATCCCAGCTCCGAGGGGCCTTTGGGGGGCACTCAGGGGGCTCTGGGGGGAGCAGCTCAGATGCATTCCCTGTTTTCCAGAGCCGCGGAGTGGCAGCTGGACCAGCCGGCCTGGAGCGGGCGGCTGCGGATCACGGCCCGCGGCAGCACCGCCTTCATCCGCCTGGAGGACAAGACCTCGGGTGAGGGGCGATCCACGGATCCTGCGGGGATGTGCTGCCGTGCCCCGGAGTTATCCCACTCCTGTCTCTCTTTTCCAGGAGAGCTCTTTGCCCAGGCGCCCGTGGAGCAGTTCCCGGGGATTGCTGTGGAGAGCGTGACGGATTCCAGCAGATACTTCGTCATCCGCATCGAGGATGAGAATGGTGTGTCACCACAGACCTTGGGAAGGCTTTAGAGCCCTCCCTGCTCCTGCTTGGGAAGGATTCCTGCTTTCCAGGGTGGGATATTCCCTGCACGGAGTGGCAAAGGGAGGAATTATTGTTTAGGAAGGATTCCTTAGTTTGAGAAGGATTCCTGCTTTCCAGGGCAGGACATTCCCTGCCTGGGATGGCAAAAGGAGGAATTATTGTTTGGAAAGGATTCCTGCTTTTAAGGGCTGATACTCCCTGCACAGGATGGCAAAGGAAGGAATTATTGTCTGGGAAGGATTCCTCCTTTTGGGAAGGATTCTTGTTTTTAAGGGCTGATACTCCCTGCACAGGGTGGCAAATAGAGGAATTATGTGGGAAGGATTCCTGCTTTCCAGGGCGGCATATCCCCTGCACAGGGTGGCAGAGGGAGGAACTCTCTCACTCCCACACATCAGCAGGGCTCTGACCTTCACCAGGAACACAAACACTTGGATTTTCCTGCTTGGTGTTGGAGTGAGGGCATGGGATCCTCCCCGTGGTGCCAGCTCTGCTTTGTGTTCCCTTCCAAGGGGTTTTACACCAACGAGGTGAAATCCCTGGACAAGGGAAGGGTTTGCAGGGACCTAATTGTGGCCTTCCCGTGCCTAAAGGGGCTCCAGGGAGCTGGAGAGGGACTTGGGGCAAGGGATGGAGCGACAGGACAAGGGAATGGCTTCCCACTGCCAGAGGGCAGGGATGGATGGGCTATTGGGAAGGAATTCCTCCCTGTGAGGGTGGGGAGGGGCTGGGGTGGAATTCCCAGAGAAGCTGTGGCTGCCCCTTCCCTGAAAGTGTCCAAGGCCAGGCTGGACAGGGCTTGGAGCATCCTGGGCTGGTGGAAGGTGTCCCTGCCCATGGCAGGGGGTGGGATGGGATGAGCTTTAAGGTCCCTCCCAACCCAAAGCATCCTGGGATTCTGTGATTCCATGATCTCCAGTGCCATGGCTCAGGCTCTACAGTCCCAGCTCTCGCTGGAGCTGGCAGCAGGCACGAGGATGTGTGGGATGGACTGTCCCATCCCTCCTCCTCCGCTGCTGTGCATTCCAGCCCCATCCCTCCCCGTTCCCAGGCCGCCGGGCGTTCATCGGGGTCGGCTTCGCGGACCGAGGGGACGCCTTCGACTTCAACGTGGCCCTGCAGGACCATTTCAAGTGAGTCTGTGCCTTTCCCGGCTCCTCAGCTCCAGTTCTGCCAGGTGTCCCCCAGGAATGCTGGAGAAGTGGGCAGGTGTGGTGGGAAGAGCTGGAGTCTCCTGTATCCCTGCCCTCCCTCTTTCCGCTGTTTCCCAGTCTGTATCAGCAGTGTCCCAAACTGGGCTTCCCAGCCCCAAAGGGGGCAAATTCCCTGATTTATTTCCCTCCTTCACATGCCACCTGTAAGGGGGTGCCTCTGAGGGACTGGGGTGCTGCTCCAGCTGCTGGGAATGGTGGGGTTTGGGGAGGGGTGGCCGGAGGATCCGTGGGAATCGTCCCCGCAGTGCCCCAGAGGTGAGGTCTCGGGTCATGTCCGAAGCCTTTAAGGAGCTGCTGCCGGGCACAGGGGATGATCCTGAGCAGGATTTGTCTGGGGGAGCCTGGTGACGTCTCCTTTTCCATGGATTTAATTCCCGCAGGTGGGTGAGGCAGCAGAGTGAACTGGCCCGGCAGGACCCAGATCAGGGACCCAAACTGGATCTGGGATTCAAGGAAGGACAAACCATCAAACTCAACATCGCTGTGAGGGGCTTTTCCAGCTAATTCCAACCTCGGGTGGCACAAGAAAGCAGCAGCTTCTCCCCAGAGTCCTCGTGCAGGAGGAATGCTGGAGCAGAGCCCATCGGGATAACGCTGCCTGCAGGGATTTGTGGGGGGTCATGTTACAATTCCTGGTTCCAGAACCGGGTCTGTGGGATTTTGGGGCAAAAAACCCCACCCTTGGTGTGACCCCTTTGGATGCACCAGCAGTGGGATATCCCAGCACGGCAGGATTTTATCCCCACAACAAACCCCTTTGGCTTTGTGGGATTCGCTCCCCCGCTGTGGCTTTGAACGTGACCCCACCCAAACTTCCCACTCTTCTTTCAGAACATGAAGAAAAAAGAAGGAGCCACAGGGAACACCAGACCACGTCCTGCAGGGCCCGGGGGCCTGACTTTGCTCCCACCACCTCCCGGGGGGAAATCCTGCGGAGAGCGCCCGCCCTCCCTGCCCGGCCCCGCCCGGCTCCCGGGAACGCCCATCACAGGTCGGCGGGCACGGCAGGGCTGAGAGGCTCCGTTAATCCACCGGAGCTGGGGGAATGCGGGAACAAGGGCAGGAAATAACCCCTGGGGTTGGTGTTCTCTCTGCCCACAGACTCGGTGCTGTCCTGGCCTCAGCCCTCTGCTCCCGCTGCTCCCGCTGCCGACGCCTGGGGAGACTTTGCCAAAGCCTCGGGGTGAGCCTGGAGGGGCTTTGGGTGGGAGGGGGGTGCCCCAAATCCCGCTGGTTTTGCTGGAAAACCACTCTGGGGTGGGGGCACTGCTCCACCCAATCCCAACTTCGGGATTCAAAAGCAGCTCTGCCAGAGCTCCAGGAGCGTTTGGACAACACTTCCAGGGACAGGGGGGGATTTTGGGGTGTCCTGGGCAGGGCCAGAGGTTGGACTGGTTGATCCTTGGGGGCCCTTCCAGCTCAGGACATTCCATGGTTCTGTGGGGTGCAGATTCCCTGAGTTCAAGTCCACGGGCACTTCCTGCTCCAGGATAATTCTGGGGTGATCCTGGAGGGCCCATTTGCTGCCTGGATGTCCTTTCCAGGTCTAAATCCCCTTTTTTCCCTGTTTTTCCCTCTCTCCAGGTCGACTCCTAACCAGACTCAGGGGAACACTGGCTGGGTCCAGTTCTGAGCCCACAAGGGTACTGGGATCCTTGGGATTCCTTTGGGACCAAAGAAGCAGCTTCAGGACACCTCACTCCTGCCCTTAAATCCCGCCTGGCATCAAAATGCTGGAATAAGTGCTGGAAAGAACCAACCACGTGCCTTAAAACACTCCACACCCCTGTGCCTGCTGCATCCAGGGTCTGTTATTGTCCCCCTGGATCACAGGACACCTTCTCCTTTGGGAGAAACCATCCGGTTCGTCCCCTCTCCTCCATAACAAGAGGGTACTTGAGGTCTCCTCAGAGACTTTCTCCTTGGTTTTTTGGGCTGGATAAATCCTTCCCTGGGCAAGGAGCATCCTCCTGGAGACATCCCACCTCCCAGCTCCACACCAGCACCCGCCAAGATGCCAAATATCACCTTGGTTTTCTTCCTGAGCACTTACCTGGGATGTTGGGAAGCTCCAGACGTGGTGTTTCCATGCTGAAATTCCTCATTTCTTACTCTGGGAAGTTTGCTTTATTCCTGCTCTCCTTCGAAGACAGGATTTTTTACTTCTTTCTGTGGACTTTTTGTTAGGGACAGAACGGTCTCTTGGACAGAGCTGGGGCTGAGACTCCTCCCTAAGCAAAGAAATATTTTCTTACCTATTTATATGAAGCCTTTTCCACGTACGAAATCCCACTTGTTTTTTTATTCAGTGCCTTGGATTTTCCTTTTCCAACTGGCTGACGGGCATTTTGCTTTCAGAGCTTTTCCCTGGGCCTGGCAGCAAAGCCAGGTGAGCCTCAGAGTGAACAATAAAACGCTTTGGATGCCGCGGTGGAGTCTTTTCCTCCCCCCGGGGCGGCTCGGAGGGGCTGGGATGGGCTTCTGTGATTCCCTGTCCTCGGCGGTGCCAAGGAAACGGGAATGGGAACGGGATTGGCCAGGGAAGCACAACAGAACCTGTTGCTTAGCAGTGGTTTGCGCTGGGGAAGGTCGCCGGGAGAGGGAGGTGAGGGAGGAAATGGGGAGAAAAGGAGGGTTTTTGGGACACAAGTGCTCGGGGGGGGGGATGAGGCAGCTCCCGCTTGGCTGCAGGGATCCAAGGCAACGTAAATCCTCAATCCCGTCTGCCTGGTCCCGGTAATCGGAGGAGAAAGGGCACTTTCCCTGGCGGGGGGATTGGGACAGAGGGTGGGAGACCCCCTGGAAAGCAGAGCGTGGTTTGGGATGGGATCCATCCCTTGTTTCGGGAGCAGGGATGTCTGCGGCCCCCGCTGGGGGCGGGTTTTGGGCTCGGATCGGGGATTTCCCGTCGCCTTTCCTTACCGGGGGGAAAAATCCTGAATTACCCGGGAGGGGGGACATTGCTGCTCCAGAGGCGGCGGCGCGGGGGATCCTCCCGAGTCCCGGCACATTCCCACATCCCGGGGGAGGGTTTAAAGCTGGATCCTCC